CAAATTATACATCGTTATAGATTACAGATACTATTAGAAATATAAAACCATTAATTTAGAATGAAAAAAATAATGTGAATCAAATGCGTATTATGCATCATCATTTGAAAGAACATGGGCCTTATCTGGCAGAAAAACACTTCACCGAAAGCACAAGATAACATTTTAAATTCCAAAGCTTTACAAAAAAAATGATTTATCTATTAATATGTTCACTATTAATTATATTTTCCTGCAATAATGTTAAATATATATACATCAAAAGTGCTCCACAAGAACCCTGCATCAGATCTCCTGTTAACAATGTTATCAAAATGTTTTGCCCTGCAATGCAGACATTAAATACTCTGGTCAGTTTTCCCCCTTGTTGTGATATTTCCTGAAGCCTACTTCTCTATGAAATGCTAGACAGCCTTTGTGCTACATAAATAATGTTGCTACAAGTTTTGTCAGTTCTAAGTATCCCAATCCTGCAGGGCACTATCTTCATTGCTGCCTTCCTGGATTCAATTTTCCAGAGGAAGCCAACGTGAAAGGCTGGACCCACTGGTGCTTTGAACTGGATGCTGATGAAATGCTAATCATGTTGCTGTAAATGTACATAGCTGCTGTGCTCCTAATTGTACGGAAATATAATTATGATTGCAGTTGTGCTTGTAAAAAAAAATACAGTAGAGTTTGAACATTAGACTGGAAGAAAACCATGCAAGGCCTTTGTTTATCAATTTTACTAATGTAACTGCATATGTATTTTTTTCTATACAGCGGAAATGCATTTGTACAGAAAATGTAAGGAAACATATCACAATGTAACTACAGTTAAACAATTAAATACACAATTTAAAAATGCACAGACCTCTTTACCTGCCGTAGCCTGAGATTTAAACAATCTTGACAGAAAAGGTTGGTGACATGACTTTTCCCTACTACAACAGAGCCAGGTTAACTCCCTGCCCCCCTATTCTTGATTGGACAGTGAAGGAGCAGCAGCAGTCTGATAAGCCTATCTCTCTCCTCCTGTCAGTATTCTCCTTATCAGAAAATATGCATGCAGCACACAAAATTGATATCAAGAAAGATGCATGTAATTGAACAAATTGCATGTATAAATTGTTTTCATGAATACATGACTGCATTTGTTTTCTTTTTTCATATCTTCCTGGAGTTCAGCTTAAAAAAACTATTTCATTCAACAGGTGAGACTAATCAGTGAGTTAATAATATGTTGCAGGAAACACTGTAATATACTAAAAGGATAAAATCCACTGAGTATTACCTACATCTGAGATTTCTCTAATCCACTGCAACTATGCCAAATGTAGCACAACAAAGAGTCACTACAGTATGTTCTTTCTGACATCTGTTCAGTATAACTATTGTGATTGTAGGCAGTGAGGAACTTCTTATTACATTCTGTAGAGAGACAGAAAATCCTTCAGCAGGTGTGTTTGTGAAATTCATCAACTGGTTTCAGGCTTTAAACGATGAAATTGAGACACGTAAGTTAACTCTGCTATGAGTGAAATGAAGTGTCTTATGGAAGTTTGAGAAGCGTTGCAGAGGCCAGTGAAATTAAGGAAAATCCCAGTGGGGACAGCATTACAAATCTTACTGATTCTCTTCTCCATCCCAACCAAACCTGACAGAAAGTTTGGAGCCGAAAATGGGCTTTAAGAATTAGCAGGCTTTATTGAATAAGGCCAGATGACCTATTTTTCTGCTACATCTGCAAATTTGTGTTTTTGTGTGTAGTTAGTTCTGTCAGCTTTGACAGAATATTTATAGCACAAGGGGGTAGAAATGCAGATGAAAAGCAGTCAGAGATGAAACATCAGTTAATAAATTAATGCAAGATTTTTTTTTTTAGCCTCAGGCGTTAGAAAGTTTGACGCATAGAGTTGCAGGGAAATTGTATTCAAAACATTATTATCCAAAACACTTTTTATAAGGTTCTAATGTCAATGGTGGGTTTCTTTTATAGCTGTAATGATACAGCTGATGAAAATCCACCCCTATTGTCTCTGTTGCTATAATTGGAGTTTTCAGTGCTAAACCATATCTCAGAACTTTAGAACTTGAGAATGTGGGACACCTTGTGGCAGAGATGATATGCGGTGAACACCAAGGTAATAATTAGGCTTGGCTAGCTGGGCATTGGTCATAGCGGTAAGCTCTAATCAAAATGAGCATATCTTTGGCAGCTGCACAATTATAACAATGACATTCTGTGGAGAAGTGGAGGAGAGGCAGACATCTTGTATTTCTCTAGCTGTATAAAGGATGGTATGATCACTAACTTTACACATTTCTTCATTATAAAGTACATTTTTAATTCAGTCTTAAAGTTGATTAACCACTTCAAGACCAGGTATTTAGACCCCCTTCCTGGCCAGGCCATTTTTCAGTGTTCAGCGCTGCAGTCCTTTGACTGACGTTTATTCCGTCATGCAACGCTGTACTGAAATGAATTTTATACCATTTTTTGGGGACAAATAGAGCTTTCCTTTGGTGGTATTTAATCACCACTGGGGTTTTTATTTTTTATTATAATTAGGAAAAATTACAGAAAATTTTGGAAAAAAAAAGGTTTTTTTACATTATGTTAGGAAACATTTATTATTAACCAGTTTTTTGGTAAAATATAAAAGATCGGGTGACGTCGGGTAAATAGACACCAAACATGTCAAGCTTTAAAATTGCGCGCACCCGCAAAATCGCAGAAAACTACCATACCCAAAATTGGCCATAGGCGACACTTTAAAAGCTTTTACCGCTCATCAGTTTAGTGTTATCAGTGATTGATGGCCGTAGACTTATTGCTCTCACTCCGACGTTCACGGCGATATGTAACATGTGCGGCGCAATGGGCGCAATCGTCTTTTTTGCACGTATGCGCCCCCGACGCATG